TTGTGAGAACATTTTATAGGAAGTTTCGTGCTTATCAATGGCATTGTCGATCACTTTTAAAAATTAGAAAAATCGGGAAGATCAGAGAACTTCAATGCTGATGTTACAATAAATTCAAGAAAATTGTGAGAGCACTTAAGAAATTTCGTAATCTTCAAGAAACTCTAGAAACCTTCAAAGTTGATTAGAGATATTCCGGTAGTTTCATTATAATCAGGGAAGTTCCAAATATTTCAAAGATGATCAGAGTACTCCAAAACATCCCGAGGAAATATGGAATATTCCTAAGTACATTTCAGGAATGTTCCAAAAACTTCAGGGGCATTGCGGGGTCTTCAGGGATGTTTTATGACCATTTGGAAAATTTTCTAGATCATTAGAACATCCCCCAAGAGCTGTTTCTTCCGGAATTATGTCCTTGTTTCTTTCGCCTGTTCCGTAAGCGCTCTGGCTTCCGCCTTTCTCCAGATTTTTTTTTCCAATCTGTTTTAGGAAGTTTCTGTCAGCGTCTCCAGGATGTTTCTTCGGTCTTATCCAGGAAGTTCAATTAAACTTCTCCCAGAAATTTCATTCGTCTAATTCTGGAATTTTGTCCAGTTGGTTTTTTTACTTCCTTTGGAAAGTTTGTCCGAGTTTCTTCTGGCTTCCCCTGGAAATGGCTACTTCTGGAATTTATATCAGATTTCCAAATCTTTTCTGTCTTCCTTTGAATGTGAAATTCCGCGGATGTTTTTCCGACTTCTCTCAGAACTTTCCTCAAATTTTCTCCAGAAGAGCTTCTTTCTTCTTTCTCTGGATGTTGTTTTCAGCTTCCTGCAGAAGCTTATTCAAGCATTCCTCGGAGTTTTTTTTCCGGAATTTTCCGATCATAGTCCAAAAGTTAAAATTTTCGGTTTCAACAACGGCAAAAATATAAAATTAATTAATACAGAAAATACCGAGTGCTTTAAAACATTCTGGCAACGCTGATTCAGGTCTACAATTCCACACCTTGTATAGACCAGGTTGCTTGCGTTCTGCCTTCCGGAGGATGCATGCGAATGAGGTGTTAGGCAAAAATTTAGTGCAAATGAAAAACTTCGCATGTGATTCAAAATGTTGAGTTCGGTAGTAAAAACAACGCGGATAATTTTTTTCGATTACCGCGAGTGAACAAACCGGTGCATTTTCGGAGGCAGAATTTGGCGAGATCCATCTGATTATAAATCAATCATAAATACATATTTCCAAATATTACTAAATACGCGCCAGATTTCGAAACAAAAGTGTGTGTTGCAGTACTATTATTCATATGACAACGGTAGTGTTTACACGCGGAGCTTACAGGGCTGGTAGCGAGTCACTTTTTAGTAACTTGGTCACTTTTTTCAAGCCAGTCACTAAAAAGTCTCTTTTTTCAAGGCCAAGTCACTAAAGTCACTTTTTCTTGTAATAAGTCACTATTTCAAACTTTTTTAAACGTGAATTTGTTTCAAGATTGATCATTCTTCTGGATAAGCCTTGTGTTGACGACCTGGTATAGAGTTTTTTCTTACGTTTAATCGTTCTTCTCTATCTACAGGGTGGCTAAATCAATTTCCCTGAGTTTTTCAGGTTTTTTCATAACTTAAAGGATTATAATGAGAATGCTATTTATGAAATGCGTTAAAAATATGTTTCTACCGCAAACGTTTTTAAGTTTTAAAGAAACTTTAGCTAAAATCCATTAAATATTGACCTAGAACACTTACTTCATTTTAGTAATTCTAAGATCATAACATTTTTAATGTCTTGACGTTTCGTACTATCAAAAAAGTGGAGACTTTAATGAAGTTCTTTTGATCTTAGAAAAGCTAGATCTAGAGATCTTTGGGGGAATTCCATAGAGTTCCCGAAATTTTAGCCCAGACTATTGAATTGGTTTAAAAATCTATAAACTCGAGTTTAGCCAAATTCAGGATAGTTCCATGAGGTGCTGAAATAAAATCGAGAACCCTTAATATGTTCCGAGAGATTCAGTATAGAGACCTTCAGAATGTATGAAAACGTTTCAGGAACTTCACAGAAATCCAGAGAATTCCAGAGAAGATTAAAGGTGTTTACGAGAATTCAATTTATTTTAAAGCAGAACTGAGATCTTCATTAGACTTGAGAGTTTAAGGGAAGCTCCGGGAACATGAAGATAGATCAGATAATTATAGGGAAGTTAAAAAAAAACAAGGAAATTGCAGAAACCGGAATTTGCTCAGAGAATTTTTTTGGAACGTAATAAAAATTATTTGAACATCCGGAAAACGTGAGAGTATTTCAATGGTGTTATATCACGAAAATTTCAAGATCTATAGAAAATTCGAAAATTTAACTAAGTTGATTAGAGAACATCAACGAAGTAGCGTTAATTAGAAAAAAGGTGAGAGCTTTTAACAAGCACCGATATTTTCAAGAAATTCCAGAGAACTTCTAAGAAATTTAGATATTTTTGATTGTTCATTATATTCAGTGAAGTTCCGACTACTTCGAGGACGATTAGATAACATCAGAAAAATCCCATTAATTTAGGAAAATTTGCAGCGACTTACAAGGAGCTCCTTAGAATTATGAGATATTCCGAGAATTTTATGATTCCGAAAACTTTAGAAGCTTCAGGGAATTATAAATATATATCAGAAAATTTACCGGAACATTTGATGAATTAAGATAAATTAATTATTGATTCAAATTAAGAAAACTTTTAGCAGGGAAAATGAGTGATTTAATGCAAAGTTCCGTGAGCGTTTATAAACTTTATAAAACTTAAGGAAAATTGTAGAACTCAAAGGCAATTAAATCAATTCCAGTAAAATGGTGGGTTCTTTTAAAAAAATACTAAGGCAGGGCAGTCTAGAAAATTTTAAGGAAATTGAGAAATATTTTATTAGTTTTAAAAACATCAGGAAACTCTAGACTATTGACGAAGTTATGTTAAGTTAAACTGCAGACAAATCTTGAGAACTTCAGTGGAAATCATAGAAATATATTAATTATTTCGTTGAGGAGCGGAAGTCTAAAGAAGTTTCTGAAATTTAAGAATAACTTCAAAAATTTCACAGAAGTACAGAGATCTTCAGAAACATTTCGAGAACTTCATAAAAGTCTATGGATCCTAAGGGAAGATCCGAGAACTTTTATGGATATTTCGCGAGCATCTCAAATAAGTTTAGTAAAGCTCCAAAAACAAAGGGAATTTCAGGGGAGTTCAGTTCCATTAGTTTCACTAAAAAATCGGGAAATTTCAAGAAGTTCCCAGCTTTTCAGAGAATTTTAGAGATGTTAAGAAAATTATTGAGGTTCAATTAAATTCATGGTAGTATAACAAGCTTCATGAGAACTGCAAACACTTAAGAGAAGTTTCGAGAACTTGGAGAAAGATATTGATCTCGCTAATAAAGCTCTAAACAAAAAAAAAAACTTCAAGAAAGGACGGATATCATCAGAGGAAAAATATTCCAGAGCAGGGAAATTACATAACTTTTAAAAAAGTTTCGAGAAATTCAGTGAGTTGTTAACACTTTAGAGAAGATTCATGATCGTTAGGAAAATTGTGGAAACTTTAGGAAGTCTGAAAAAGTTTAGAGAAGGTAAAAGAAATGATAAGAAATATTGTGAGCATCAGGTTAGTTTCTCAAACTACAAAAGAAATTCAAGGCAGTTTAATTAAATTCTGGAATATTTTGGGAACTTAGCCTTAAAATTTTGCAAGGAATTTTACTCCAGATTCTTGAAAATTTCTTGAAGTATTATAACTTTTCAGTTCAGAATTTATAAATTTATTTTCTCCTATTTGTTACTGAAGATTAATCCATTCTGAATCTATAAAGTTCAATAAATGAATGAAAATAATTAGAAATATTAAATGTTTTTATTTTAAAATGCATTCTTATAAGAAAATTATTAAATTTCCTGAGGTATTTTCAGGAAAAATAAGATTCCCTGCGAATTCTCGGTTTTCAATGTTTTCCAGGTAGTAGCAGCTTGGAGGTTTAGTCATAAAATTTCAATTGAATCTTTCGCTTTAAAGGTTCCTATCGTTCTGGAAAGAAAATAGGACAGTTATGAAAACTAACACACGTAAAGATAAACTGAATTTAAGTAAATTTAATAAGTGTTAGTTGAAAGCCACTTGTCTGTCATAAATCTGCAACATAAAGATTTGTGATGCCAGGTGAGGATTTCTGAAGTTGTTTTGCCATGACTAGAATAAGTAAGTTTCCAATAGTTGAGTCAACTTGTTTGGACCCTAATATGGATATTAAAGGAACTGACTTTCTAATTTTAAAAATTGAATCTTAATTGGAGGATTTATACAATAGCCGCCCAATTAAAAAAATATATAATAATAATGAATTGTTCATTTAAGCGTTCAATTAAATAATCATTTATTTTGTAACTAATGTTTTACTAAATGGAGCAGCAAAAATCTCAAATCTGTTTTTAGCAACGAACCAACCAGAAAATCAGATTTATGGAGTGCTATCATTTACGATCTATTTACAAAGTGTTTATGAGAATCTAATTGCATAATTATTAGAATTAGACATTTATTTGCTATGCTTCCCTTAGGTCACGTTTTAGTCACTTTTTTACAACTATAAGTCACTATTTGGTCACTTATTTCTTCAACATGGTCACTAAAAACACTATTTGTGTCAGCATTGATCGCTATCACCCCTGGGCTTATTGTATGTTAAAGTAACCTCGGAATGGATGTGAATTACCAGACATTCTAAAATGGGTTACTAAATCTGAAGTAGAGCTATCGCTTTCTAACTCTAACTCGGACTAAACTTGCTTTAACTTATTACATCAAGGATTGTTTAAGCAAATTTCTTCCACCACTGCTGACCAGTGGGGGTTAGATTGAATACATATACACACACACACACACACACAAGCCGAAGTCCCCTCCTTCCCCCACTATTCATACTATTTTCACCTCAAGAAATCATTATGAATTGTGAGTAAAACTGTAGTCGCATAATTACCTAGGCAGTAGATTCTCATTTCACAACCGGTTCACAATCTGAAAGAAACAAGAGAAAAATATCCGATTAAATACTACTGTCAAGTTCAACATTCGCAACATTTCCAACACACAGCGCGTAACTTCGTTTCAACAAACAAATATTTAAACTCAACTGCAAGTGTCAGCGGATAATGAGTTCAAACTACAGCCAAGAAAATCTTTCCCGAGTGGAAACATTTTCCAACCCGTTTCCGTGCAGCAGCTTTCCCCGCGCACTCATAACGCCGGGCCAACAAAAGCAAGATAGCGAAAACTTCCGCAAAATTATCACCCGCCGTAGCGTTGCAGTCGTAGCCGTAGCTAGGTAGGAGGCGCAGTTCGGTTCTGTTTTTTTTTTATCACGAACATAAACGGGACAGCAGGCAAACATAAGGCCCCATAAAACGGAATCCCGGAAACGGCATTATTCCGGTCCGGTGAAATAAAACGACAAAACTATCATGTATCACTTCACAGCAGTCAGTGGTGGCCTTTTTCCACGGGAATAAAAAAAAAAGAACCCCAAGAACAGGAACAGGAATCGGGAAGAACACAGACACGACACCCGGACTGCTGCATGCCGCAGAGCTGAGGACAGATTTTTAATTTAATTTCCAAAATTAAATCCTACTTTCGCGATGGCGATGATGATGACGATGCGCACAGAGGAGTAATTAGAGCAAAAACTTGGTCAAAATTCAAATACTTGAAAAAGTTGATCGTGTGGTCGCTCTGTGAGTTTAAATATAAACAGTTCGTAATGACTACAAACCTCCATTTGGAGACTGTGTGTTTTTCACCATTTTGGAACATGTTTGGAAAATTTCACTATTTCACTCAACATCAATTGATACCTATAATATTGATGCCATAATATCACTCAAAACAACATTTACCCATTTTGGCCAGGTTTTTGACCTACTTGCTCCACTGTGTGACGGAGGCGAAAATGAAACGAGATCGAAGACAGACCGAGAGCAAACAGTTGAAAGAGTTGAGATTGTTAGTAGTTTTTCTTTAAACGTGCCGCAGCGAATTCGGAGTAGAATGGTATAGAAAATTTTGGAATTTCTATCTAAATCTAATTTTGCCGTCTGTATTTAAGATCAATTTACACTTTTCCCACTGGAAAATATCTCCGCACAAGTGGCTCGCAAGAAGAAGAAAAAAACAGTAGAAACCGAGGCTCTCTTCGAGGACCTCTAGAATGTGATGCTCGAGAAGGCAGGGCGTAGCGCTAAACTTTTCCCCCTGAGGCTTCCCTCAACTGGTTGTTTTTATGAATGAAACAACGTTTTCATAACTTAATTATAGTTATTTGGGGAAAAATTTTCATTCGTTGCGGGACTTTTTCCCCCGACGATCTTCTTCTATTCGTTATGAAGGCTGTCTTCTTGTTCGTCAGCTGGGAACTTGGTACGTTTTGCGATGGTTGGTTGGCTGGTTGAAAGAAAGCACCATGAAAATTGAACCAAGCTTGGCTTTTCGTGTGAGTTTTCTTAATTTTAAAAGTTTTTCGCGGTTTAACGAGGAAAGTGATAAGGTTTACGAGTTATCCACAGTGGATGACTTCCTTTTTGGGAATAAAGTTGGGGCTGTATTCGGGCTCATCAATGAGTCATAAACCGGTACAATTCAAAGTAACCAGTGTAAATTTCTGATAGTCTATGAGTACGTATGTGACATATACCATATAGGGTCATATTGACGGTCATGACAATTAGGAAACATGGAATGTTTCAAATGCTGTTTAACAACTCAATTCATTCAAGTGTGTTGTTACGTCGAACGTGAAATTTATGATTTTCAGAGTTGGGTGGAAATGCTATAAATATTAATCTTTAGTGCGATAATTTATTAGCTAGAGAAAGTTCTGAAGAGAATAGATTGATAGTTCCGCTAGAGTACGACAGTATGAACATTGAACAGAAGTTTAAATTGAGCGAAAAGTCATTGATGCTACAATACTAATCAAATACGCACTCCGTTGCATAGCTCACATGATTAGAGAGGGGAATTGAAATGTTTCCTCAAATTGTAGCATTTTTTTTAATTGAAAAATTTCAAAGGCTCCATTTTGGAAACACAGCCAACTCTCCATAACTCGATATATAAGGGACTCGAGTTATATAATTTAAAAAAAAATCGTGATTATGTTTAAGGCTAATCCCAAATTATTCCATCATATGAAGACATTTCATGTCTAATGAAGACTTTTGAAGTCATATGAAGACACTTGGAGATTAAAGTACAATGAAGTAGATGTTTGCTCCATATCTAAACATCTTCTAAAAATCGTTATTATGAGCAAGGCGGTAATCAGGTTTCAAAATAGAGGGGACAAAATCTCGAATGAAGAGATCAAATAAATTTCAAATGTATAGAAATCTGCTTCGAATGGATTCGGATTCATAGTATCCGAGTCTCGAATAAAAGGTCTGAAATTTAAAATGTGTGCCAATTTCAAAATCTCAGAAGCCTGAGACATGTGATTTATTTTAAATTAGTCCATTTTGTTAGTATTCCTGTAAAACTTCGAAAGAATTATTCATTAAATTGCTCAGGAATTCCTCAAAATATGCTTCATAACGCTCTTGGAATTTCACTTTTATTTTCTATGAAATACTCAAAGGGATTGCATTGGAATACTTCATGGAATTCCTTTCAGGCTTTCCTGAGAATTACCTTGGAAATCTCCTCAGAGTTCCTTAGAATTACACCTTAGGGGATTTTAATTAACTACGTAGACAGACAAAGGGGGAGGGGGGGGGGTTGACAATTATACACGACCCATACAAATTTTAAAAATTGTGTATGGACAATTGTCTACGCAGGGGGAGGGGGAGGGTCAAGAATATAAAATAATTGTCCATGCAGTTAATGAGCAACCCCTTGAAATAAATCTGGATTTATCCTCAGAACTTCCATAGAATTTTTCTAATAAATCTCATTAAATTATAGCCAGAACTTCCTTGGAATTCTCTTCGGAATTATTTGAAAAGTCTTGCTAAAATTCACCTGTAAAATTCCTCGCAATTTGTTAGGGAAACTAGGATACATAATTGTGTGCATCACTGTAGATCTTGGAATCCAGGAGAAATGAATGACCACGATCGTCTGCCTGTATGCAGATCACACTCTACCTACCTACACGAGAGATAGGCTCGATAGGCTATCAGTGATGTGCTCTCGCAGCACCACTTGTAAATAGAGATAGGATAGTTAGCTCCCGACCGCCGACGGTATCGGTATCGATTTAGTTCGATTGCGTTGTTTAAATACAGTCCACTTGTTTAGAATAATAAATGCGTTTAGTGGTGCGTAGAATAAACTTGTTAGTTAGTGATCGTATCACACCGGTGTTACACAGTTGTTAAAGTGCATAATCCGAACTAGCTATTCGCGAACGTAGTGCAAAACGAGGTATTACCCAACACAATTCCTAGCCAATATTCCACGGCATTAATTAAGTTTTCTCCTCTTTTTTCGTGGAATAATGCTTCGTTCATCCGTTGAATTTCTCTTCAGCATTCAATTGGTATCATCTGAGAATCCCCTTGAAATTATTCTCACATCAGCTTAGTAATTATGTTTAACACTTAGGTATTATACTTAGAACAAAATTGAAGCTCTTCTCATTTGAATTCTTCTCAGAACTTCCTTGGAAACCTCCTGTGTATTTACCAGGAATATGAATCAAGAGGTCCTCAGAATTATCTTGGAAGCATTCCATACATTTTGCTTGAAGTTCTCCTCAAAACTAAAATGGTATTCCAGAGTTAGAATAGTCATTAGAATTCCATTTAAGTTCGCTTCAAAATTCCAGAATCATTAATATTTTACACAAGCCCATGAGCCTTGTAAATTTTCTAAGATCAATTATATTAATAGGGGGAATGACTCTAATGTTGGCCTATGGATCTAAAATTGGGTCCATCGCTAAGAATCTGCTATTTATCAATTTTATCTAGACGAACCCGTCATTGGGACGGTACTAATGCATATTTTTGGTCGCTATTGAAAATTTAGTCGATTGCTGAATTTTTGTGTGGGCCCAAGTTATTTAGGACGACATTACATCCATTTCCCCTATTTTTTTTTTCAAATCTGGGATCTTGGAAAACATTTCAAGATCCGAAATCTGAATCTTCGTTTCAAAATCTTGAAAATATAATCAAGCTTGGATTATTCTTTTTCTAAGTTCCAGGAATTGAAAATTTTCCTCAGCCCGATAAAATTATCTCTATTCAGAATCTGAGAAATCTAACTCATGAATTTGAAATTTGCATTAAATCTCATAGTCTTGAAGATTATTCAATCAATCAAAACATACAAATTTGTCACGGATTAATTCAATTAATTCAATTTCAAACTATATTCCTTTTTTAAGTAAAATTGATGTTTATGGCACGCATTTATCCCAGTAGCGTTCACAGACTTCGAACAATTTCAATGAAAGTCTCTGGACTTTGGAGATCGCGAACATAAAAAGATGAAAATTCTAGTAGGTACCTAAAGTTATAAAATGTTTCAAAAGCTTCCAAAATGTATGAACATTCTGAAAATGTATGAAGCTACTGTAGTAGGGGTTGCATTCTCCCTGTAACCCTCTGTTCTCATTTTATGATTATGGAAAATTACTGTCTCCTCTGACTTAACGCCAACCATGTGTAAATATCAAGGAGCTGGGTGTTCTGGTGGTGACCGTTTTTGCTTACTGAGCAGAAGATCATGGGTTCATTCCCTCCTTCGTCATGTAGAGTGGTTAGGGTCACAATGCAATCAAACGATCACATCACTTCTCATGGTGAGCCCTTATCTACTACCTTTCCGAGGTGTTCATGCTCCCTAGTGGTCTCATACTAACAATATTTCTCTTCCCAGATGATCGTAAGGACGTGGCCAAGGCCGCTATTGATCTGAAAAATGCTGATTCATATGAATTTATTGCCTACTCCAAGCCCCATTAATTTAGTTAATTCTCGACTACTTTTTCAATCAGCTGTTGTAAACAATGC